TCATCAGTCCCAAGGAAGCTGTGCTTCTGGACTCTGGACCAGACCTTCAGGAGAGCAGGGTCGGGACCACAGGCTGGGGCCACCGACACCGTGAGGGAGTTGACCACATCCGCCAGCCAGGTGGCAGAAGAGACACTGGGAGGTGACAGTGAGGACACCTGGGTTTCCCTCCTAGCACTGCTGCTCACCAGTTCTCAGCTCACCTAAGTCTATGACTCTCTCTTCTCTTTCTATGGAATAAGAATGAAAATACAGGAGAACTGTCAGGATCTAATGAGAGAATGAAAGGGACAAAGTGCTGTTCTTTGGTTCTGGAATATTGTTCTTTTTAGTCTCATTCTTCTTGCCTGAAGCTCGGAGGAGAAAGAGGGAGAGAGGAGAAAACCTTGAGAAGAACTAGGTCATCTTCCCCAGCAAGTGGTTTGCGACCTGAATACATAGTAGAAATGCTGAACACCAGGCCAATCTAAGGACCAAATCTAACAGCATCAGCAGTTTCCAGGACTGAAGCTGAGTGGCAGTGATCTTTACTACTGCAACTCCAGTTTTCTCAGCAAATACTTAGTTGGGTCAAATCAGGTACTCTCATCCAAAAATCCCCTTTGGGTCCTCTGGGGATCCCCCGCCCTTAATCGCCCCAATCCCTCACCACCCCACTCTTACATAATGCCCATCTCTGCATTTTCCCTTCAGTCTAGGTTCATAGCCTTGACCAGAATGAAACTCTTCTGTGATTCTAAGGCCAGCTTAGAAGGTCACTGGGATCCCTGCCCAAAGTGCTTCTCTCTCAAGTCACTAAAGCTATCTGTAGGCTTCAGAATAAACCACAGAGGAGAAAATAATCCCTCTTGTTAAGAATAAGCAGGATCAGAAATTTGTTTACGGGATCAAACCTTCTTGCTTGCACGAATGTTTTCCCTTTCTGGAAAACCCAGGATGGGAATTGAGATATTACACGTTGTACAACAAATTATATGTTGTACTCCAGTAAACCACAATCTGGGATGTTGGTTTCACCATCTATAGATGACTGGGACACTGATCCCCCTTGGAACTCAGTCTTTGGATTGGGAATGACTGGAGTAGTTCTCTCTCTGGCCTCTACCCAACCAGCTTCTCTGGGTAAAGAAGGGAATCAAATTCCTTGGTGTTGAACAAACAGGGGGTCCAGTTTATTCATTCTTATCTAGTGCCCATAGGTTGGCTTCATCTACAAAAGCAAACTTTGATCAGGGAAGGATGTGCCTTTTGTGATACGGGAACTAGTCAATGGTAAATTCTGTTGTTTTTTTTTTTAAAGGAAGTCTCCAACGATTCACAGGGTTTTCTTCTCCTTATAACCACAGATAGAAGATTTTAAGAACGTATGAATGGCAGCTACCTTCAGATTTCTTTCACTGTTGTGAGGATCTAATGAAGTCTGGTTATTGGCTACTGTGAAGACAGTCTGGGAAATGCTAAAAGAAACTTGTTTATACAGCACTGACATTTAAATGATACCGTTTTTAATTTTCATAATTGAAAGCCAAAGTCTGCAGTATCTATTAAATTGAATAAGTTATTCTCAGAGCTATTTTTGACCAATTTAGAAACATTTTAAAGGCCTAACTGAATCACTGATTTTCAAATAATCTAGCTTGTGTGTTATGGGCAATATATGGCATTTTTCTAGATGAAATCATACTGTTGTCTTATGTGCCCATAAAACAACATTGCTCACGTTCAAAAAGCCCTGATTTATCATGATTATTTCTTGTCTAGAACTTTCCTAGATAGAAACTAAGTATCTTTGAATGGCTTATTTCAAATGCCTCCCTTATTATCTGTGGTAGGAATATAAACTGGTACAAACTATATGGAAAAACCATCTGGCAATAATGAAACAAAAGACTTAAAAATGTTCATAGCCATCTACCCAGCAATTCTACTTCTGGTAATTTAGAATGAGAAAATAATCTGAAATGTTAACAGAAATTTACACATAAGAAGAATTACTCCAGTGGAATTTAGAACACATTTTCCATAATTTTTTATATTCTTCTCTATAGGCTCTTATAACAAATTATAAGCAACCCAAACATACATAGGAAGATAATTTAGTATGTAATGGTCTTTTACAAAATGAAATACATTATAGTCATTAAAAATGGAAGCATATATTAGAGAAATGCAAATCAAAACTACAATGAGGTATCACCTCACACCAGTCAGAACGGCCATCATTAAAAAGTCCACAAATAACAAATGCTGGAGGGGGCGTGGAGAAAAGGGAACCCTCCTACACTGTTGGTGGGAATGTAAATTGGTGCAGCCACTATGGAGAACATTACGGAGGTTCCTCAAAAAATTAAAAATAGAGTTGCCATATGATCCAGCAATCCCACTACTGGGCGCATATCAGGACAAAACTATAATTCAAAAAGATACATGTACCCTTATGTTCATAACAGCACTATTCACAATAGCTAAGACATGGGAACAATCTAAATGTCCATCAACAGATGAGTGGATAAAGAAGATGAGGGGTGTGTGTGTGTGTGTGTGTGTGTGCGCGTGCGCGTGTGTGTGTATACACACGCGCGCACACACACACACACAACAGAATACTACTCAGCCATAAAAAAGAAATAATGCCATTTGCAACAACATGGATCCAACTAGAGATTACCATGCTAAGTGAGCTAAGTCAAAAAGAGAAAGACAAATACCATATATCACTTGTATGTGGAATCTAAAATATGACACAAATGAACCTATCTATGAAATAGAAACAGACTCACGGACATAGAGAACACACTTGTGGTTGCCAAGAGGGAGCAGGGGTGGGGGAGGGGTGGAGTGGGAGGTTGGGATTAGCAGCTGTAAGCTATTATATATAGAATGGATAAACAATAAGTTCCTACTGTATAGCACAGGGAATCATGTTCAATATCCTGTGATAAACCATGATGGAAAAGAATACAAAAAAGGAATGTACATCTGTATAATTGGATCACTTTGACAGCAGACATTAACACAACACTGTAAATCAACTATGCTTCAATTAAAAAAATTTTTTTAAATGGTAGCATATATATTATATATATATATATATATATATATATATATAGTATACATGCTAGCACATACATAGAAACTTTTTGGTAAGGGGAAATAGGACTCTGTTAATCCTATTTTATTCTGAGGATAGAGAGCTTTACTTTTCACTTACACCTTTCTGTACTCTTTGAATTATAAAATGACCATATATTACTTTTATTTTTAAAATTAATAAAAATATTAATAAAGAGTAATAGTGGCATGAGAAAATGATTAAGCGAAAAAAGGAATATAAATATGGTATGTATAGTATGATCAGGAAAAATCTTAGAAATATATCACATGTTAATAATTATATTTCCAACTTTCAATAAAAATAAAATGTGCCTTAAAATATTAGCTAGTTAAACAATACCAACTTGTTTTCTAATCTGTTTTTTTCCAAAATTGAATCTAATTCTCCCAGTGGACCTCAAATAAACTGGAATCGCATTCTTCTTTGCTAAATTAATCACAGATCCCAGATGATCAAGGGTCAATTTGTTTAAGAAGTAGATTCCGTCAAGATATCAAAACATGTTGGATACTGTATTTTTGTTACCCTGAACATAACACAAAAAAGGGGTGCGGCTTCAGAGTTAACTTGCGCTGTGTTGTTATCTATATGCACCCTAGTCATGTAAAGGGCAGTATCAGTGTAGACTCTGGAGCCAGACTGCCTCGGTTCATCATCCTGGCTCCATCTTTGCTGCCTGGGTAATCCTGGGCAAGTGACTGAACCTTTCAGTGCTTTAGTTTCCTTGTTTCCAAAACGGTACTTACCTTACTGGGGTTGTGAGAATTAAATGAACGTGTGTGAAGTGGCTAGAACACTTCCTGCACACAGTAAGTACTTAATAAGTGTTTGCTACTATTATCATTACTAATACACCATGCACCTGATTTCAGAAGCATTCTGCGCTGGAGTAATTGGACAACAAAGGACTGCTCTTTGTAACATGCTGTCTAGTTACACACAGCTTACATCTATAGGACCACTGTCCCCTACACATCAGTTTTCACGCACAGAGGATATTCTGTAGAGTACACACAAAAAGCTCGCCTGAAGTCCATTTCAGTAATGAAAACTGGTCACTTGAAAACAATCTTTATATTAAAGAGATGACACTAAAACTTTCTTCTACTCAAGCTGGAAACGTGGAAGGCCAATGAAAGTAGGATTTAGTATAAAACCTGGCTGTCGGAGTTGGTTAGTTAGATCATGTCCTTGCAAGGCCAAAAGTACAATGACTGGCTAAACAACTCAGTTTATTTCTCTGCTGGGTGTTCTTTGGTTCAGACTGCATTCTTAATCACAGCCAACCACCTCACAAAGGTACTTCAAGGGGAACCAGCAGAGGACTCTACACGGGAGAGGAGACACAGGGCTCAGTAAATGTGTGTTCCTTGATTCCTGATCCTGGGAAAGCAATTCAAAGTAACACCTCACTGATGCTGGGGCCAGACCATAATTTGATCACAAACACAGTGGTGCTTTCTCTATGTCAAGCGAGCATTGTCTTACAAAGTTATATATGTCATTACTTAAATGAAGAATAGATTGGCCTTCTGGAAAGGAAAGGAAAAAGACAAGGAAAAAGAAAATAAAGAGAAAAAAAAGCAGACAAGGGCATTTGTCTTCCATGTTTGGATTTGACTAGAAAAAATATTTTGAAGAATAAAAGAAAAGTACCTGACTTACCCACAGCCTTCAAACAGGAAGTCAACAATATTCTTTCTCGGTATGTCACATAGGTAGTTACACTCCCATGGCATTATACCACTGGCATTTTCCATATGAAAAGTGTGGTAAGTGCAGAGAGAAAAGGCACATAGCCTAACACTAAGGAAAGTCCAAATTCTTTCAGCCATCCCACCACCACGCCACCCTATTTCACGGAAGATCCAAAGGAGCAGCTTACCTCCACTGAGAATAATGACAGCTATAAATATTGCCAAGTCGCTGTCATCTAATTCCAGTGCATTGAACTTCACAGCAAACTCGAACTTGGGCTCCATAAAGTCACCAAAGGGCTTTCGCAGGCTCTTTAAAAACTCCCTCGTCATGAAACCTTGGCCCTCGGATATGAGAACCCCATCTTTATTCATCAAGGAGGCCAGCATCGTGTAAATGATCTCATGGACGCCGTATTTTAGGAGAGTTACTTGGTCATTCAAGTCAAGATTTACAAACCCAGGAATACTCTTGGCATACTCTGTGATCTCCTGCACAGCTTCCACGGAACGGAACTGACACCCCTGAAAGATGCGGATGGCCACTTCTTTGCTTGGCTCCTGCAAGGGGGTGATGTGCTTGAACTTGATTTTATCTTCTCCCATCATTAAGGAATTCATGTCATAGATAACAAATGGCTGCAAAGAAAAAAGGGAGAAAATGGCTGAGTTGGAGATTTCTAATTCAGTCAACACCACCCCAGGTTCTCTATGTACACTTGCTTTGCTAACTAAAATCTTTAAAGTCTAAAACAATTAATAATGAGAAAATACTCGTGTCTTGATTAATCCTCCAAATTGTCTTCTGGGACCAAACATATTTCACTAATATTGGCCTCCCTTTCCTTCCACTTATACTGCAACACCTTACCTGGGACTGGCTAATAGCTCCAATTTCTGTTGTTTGGAGGGTATTTGTTGTTGATTTTTCAAATGATACAAAATCTACTGTTTATTTTGGCTTTCAATGGTGTATGTTTTTAAACTTCTTTCAATAAAAAAATTATTTCAGCAACTCAGGGTTGAACAGACCCACTTGGACATAAAGTAATCTTGCAATTATACATTAAATCTACTCAGATCTTGAAAGAAACACAGTGTGCATGTAAACTACACTTAACTATAAAAAAAAATCAGTCTGAAAGCAGATTAAAAATACTGAGCCAAGAAAATGTCTGTTTCATTTTTTTCAGTGCTCTGGAAGCAATCTGTTTCAGAAAGAGCAGCTGTGTAAGGCCTGTGGGTAAAAGCTGCAAAAGTGTCAAATTAAAAAACTTATTTTTCAAAGTATGTGTCCTTAAGGGTCAAGAATCAATAAAACACGTTTATCAGTTACTCAGGTTTGCAGTAGGCTGCTTTCAAAAGCACGTTGTGTTAGTCATGGATCTTTCTCTTTCATTTCCTCCTATAGAATTAACCAAAGGTTTGTGGTCTGTGTGAAATTCTCAAGGCTACTCTGAATGAGAAGCGGCTACACTTTAAATATACAGTGGATCTACTGAGCTCCATAAGGAGTTACCCCTAATAAGAGTTGAGGGGATCTGGGTTCCAGCTTTGGTTCTGCGGTTAACCTCGTGACTTTAGAAAAGTCATTTATCTTTCCTAGGCCTCAAATTTCTCAACTGAGGGGAGTGGATTGCATTGGAAGTTTCCAACTCTTCTCTTGAGGATATGCTAGTTGCACTTCTCAGATGTAGTGTCTGTGATGTATGCGTGTGTGTGTGTGTATCTGTGTGGGTGTGCATGCATACTACATGTCCACTGAACATGAAGTCTTTGATGTACTAAAAATAAAACTTCTTTTGAGCAGAGACGCTGAGAATTCTCTCCTCATTGGCAAGAGGAAGCAGATGCAGTGAGTGCCAGCAGTAGCCAGCTTCAAGACCCACTGGTTCAGAGAATCTGACTATTAATCTCTATAGGAGTCTATGATCGTCACCAAACTTTTTTTTTTGGCTGCACCACATGGCTTGCGGGATCTCAGTTCCCTGACCAGGGATTGAACCCGGGCCCTGGCAGTGAAAGCGCAGAGTCCTGACCACTGGACCGCCTGGGAATTCCCTTCACCGAACTAATAAGTCTATTCTACACTGAAGGAAATAACAGTAATACTAAGGGGTTTTCGATGTTGAGTAGATTTCCAAACTTGCCTATTATTTCCACACCATTCACTGGAGTTATTCCAGAAATTGTTACTTTTTTAAACCCCCAAATTCACTTCAATTGTATTGTTTAGCAAGTACAAAACCACAAAGTAGGACAGATGTGAGTAACCCAAGAGTAAGCTCGCCTGGTGGCTCTAAGTCTTCAAGGAAACCAGGAGTGAAGAGTGCTTACTATGTTTTTGGGAATTTCGCTCCCCCCCACGCCACCGCGTCCCACTTCAGACTGATATTATTAACGGGAGAGGAAAAAAAGGATGGAGTGGATAAACAGTCACATCAGTTAACACGTGCTAAGTTTCTCCAGAATGCCACATTCTAATCATGAGAAAAACATTAACAGAACCTAGGGAGAGGTTGTTTCTGTCCTCCAGGGGTTTTGTAGCGTATTACAATTTACGTTAACAAGAGCCTGGCTTTCTTTACTGCCCTGAGAATCTGATGGTACCTGAAGAGTCCCCCTGTACCTGTACGAGTACCAAAAACAACGGATATAACATCATCCCCTCTTCACATATGAAAATGCAGTACCTCGATCTGCCCACTTCAACTCTTGGATGAGCTCAACCACTCAGCTTCCTGGCACAGAATGGATGCATCAAATTGTTCCACCTCCATGTAAGCTATTTATCTGGAACTATGCCCTGATAAATCATCCTGTGACTCTTCCCCTTGACTTCCCCTGTCCCCTCATATAAAGCCCCAGGTTCCTGTTTTTGAAATTCTGTGAGAGTTGCACATAGGGCACAATCCTGCTAATTTTCTCTCTCAATTTAACAACAATGTGACTTGGTAACCCCTTGGCAATCGGCATTGGTCAGGATTTCCTGGCAGTAAACACTCAAGGACACAGAAAGGAATCAGCAGCCCCCACCATCATGCCAAACCATTCTAGTCTTTTCTTTTTAAAAAAAAGATCCCTCCAGCGTTTTTCAAAACGTGAACTGGCAGAGAATTATGGGTATTGACATGCAAATGAATCCCAGGTGGATTTCTTTTGTTTTTCCTCGTCATAGCTGATTGTGCTGTTTTCCTTGCATTTCTGAAGTCTGCATAGATTCTTTCAACCCCCATGCGGATCTGTCAAACTGCAAGAGTGATCCGGACACGATCTGCCCAGAGATCTGCCTTTCTTCGCCACCAATTCACCAATTCTTAGACTGCAAACATTTCACCTGCACATTTCACACTGGGACCTCCTTATCCTGAAACAGCGAAAAGATAGCGGCCCACCTGTTTGCAGAGGGCTGACCTCTTAAAACCACGGGTGGAATTCAGCCAGCGGAGTTTATCTTGGATCATGAATTCCACATCACACTTCTGGTAAAACATTCCCCGTAAAATGCACTTCACTTCCACGTTTCTGTATTTTCTACAAAGCAAAGGGAAGCCTTACATCCTCTATTAGCTTGCACCGTATCACTGGATGATCTGCCATTTTAAGAGGAACCATATCCTCTTCAAAGGTGGTCTTAATGATTTTACACTTTTAGTTGGGGGCTGACAATGTATTTATCTTCAGACACTATATCAAATGGCTACATAAGCATCTCTCTTTAACAGGAAAGAATGCTTCATTATGTCTAGGATGTTATCAGGGATAGATCCAGGCTTTGTGGGGCCTGAAATGTACACGATTGTTGAAGACATTTACAACAACTGTTGCGTTCAGTAATACAAATTATAAGAATAAAAACTCAGGCCCTTTCTTGAGCCTTGGAAGGGGCTCAGCACAAGGGAGAGGCCCTGAAGCTTCATTAGCTTCATGGTGAGTCGGCCTTTGGCTGTTATAAGTGATTGTATTTCTCCTATTTTGGACACACCAGAACAAGGTCAGAATGGAATGAAGAAAATTGCACTTGAACACACTGTTTCTCCAGGGAAACAAAACGGTTTCTGTAAGAGGAAGTTAGTTTTCTTTGGAGAGATACAGCAAGTCTAATTTATTTTTGCGGTACGTGGGCCTTTCACTGCTGTGGCCTCTCCCGTTGCGGAGCACAGGCTCTGGACACGCAGGCTCAGCGGCCATGACTCCAGGCCTAGCCTCTCTGCGGCATGTGGGATCCTCCCAGACCGGGGCACAAACCCATGTCCCCTGCATTGGCAGGCGGACTCTCAACCACTGAGCCACCAGGGAAGCCCAAGTCTAATTTATTTTGATATGTTTTGATTTTCAAAAACGGCTCCACGTATCAAAACCGGGATGGAGGGCTTCCCTGGTGGCGCAGTGGTTGAGAGTCCGCCTGCCGATGCAGGGGACACGGGTTCGTGCCCCGGTCTGGGAAGATCCCACATGCCGCGGAGCGGCTGGGCCCGTGAGCCATGGCCGCTGGGCCTGCGCGTCCGGAGCCTGTGCTCTGCAACGGGACAGGCCACAACAGTGAGAGGCCCGCGTACCGCAAAACAACAACAACAACAAAACAAAACCGGGATGGGATTAAGGGTACTGTTTTTATAGATAACTAAAATTAGTTCTAGATCTATAGCACACCTGTTATGTATAACACAAAGATCATGGGGGAAGCTGGCTTACTAATGAAAACCAAGTAGAGTAATAAAACTTTACTGTTTTGAATGGACAGATAGAACAATATTGTTTCTTAGTAGTCCAACAACAGCAGCATTTTAATATACAAGTTGTTTTAGTGAGTATACATGAATGCTCTAAGTTTGCAGCTCCTTTTGAATAATAAAATGGCAAGCTAGAGTAGAGAAATGAGAAAATCAACTAAGAAAGCACGGATTATTCTGGTGATTTCTCCAATCTGGGAGATTGAAATTCGTGCAGGATTCAATCACCTGGTAACCAGGTCAGAGTTAAAACTGGCCTGGAGAAAGGTGTGCCCCATCCCATGGGGCTCTCCTGGTAGTCTTAGTTTTCCTGACAGATTAGAGCAAAAGCTCAAGGAAGAAAATTGAATTCTTAGGGCCTATCTTCTTCATCTTCTTTTCTTCTTTCTTTTTATACTTCTGACTGACCTTTCATCTTCTGAGACACACATGGTTCTCCTTGATTAGCTCCACTGGGTGAATGTTAATCCAAAATGCATTGGTTGGGTTTCCTCAACTTCTTTCTGGTTTCTCCCTTGTCATTCCTATTTCCCTCTTGTTGAGAACCATGGGGTTTAGAGAACTAAAGGGTCTTCAGAAATAACCTACATCATCATTCTCTGACTATGTATGAATAAACTGAACTCCAGACTTTCCAAAGTCAAACAGCTATTTATAGCAAACCCTAAACCAGATCTCCTCACTCATGACTAATTCTTTTCTCTTTCTGTTGCTTTCTACATGACTTCCCCACTTTTGCTTTTTTAAATACAATGACTATTCTGGGAGGAAGTGGAGCTTTTAAACTCTTATATGCCGGGATCTTGGAGGCAGTGTCCTTTGAACTATTATTTCCTAGAGATGCCAATTAAGTGCTGTATGTGATCGAAGTTAAGTCTGAAAGTCACTCAAACGTAATCTTGTTTTCCTACATGGTTTAGAGATTTAAGACAAATAAAAACTTAATACGAAGAATTATTCACACTCTAATGAACCAGCACATAGCCACAGCCCTTAAAGAAAAGTCTATTGCTGGCCAAAATGTTACTCAGCTGGCAAACAAGGGTAGTGGCCAACTGAGTCTAATCATTAAAAAATGAAAAAAAAAATTAAAATGCTTTTCTTCTTAACTATATAATTATTTTTTAAATTTATTGTCTGAAAGAACACCATTGGTTCAGATGTGTTATATCTTTAGCTATATTCCCGACAGTACTGGAAATAAAGAAATTTATTTTTTTAATATGAACACATGGATTAATGATTCCAGGAGCCCAACTTCTTTAAGTCACCATTGAAACAAATCAGCACTACCATCCTGCTCTTTATACTGTGGTTCCTAAGGCTCTTTTCTCTGGGGGTCTGTTTGGTATCTTTCTTCCCAGGGGAGCAAATTCCAGCTCACTCAGGTTTTTCCACAGTGAAAGGGGGAAAGAGACCACACTTTGTTTAGTTGTTAGGTGTAGGATTTAAAAGGACAGATATCTTTCCAACAGTTTGAGTTACCAGATTCGAGGGCCCTTGTAAATTTTAGGATGCGAAAATTTAAATGGGTACAGAGCTGTTTTCACAAAAGTTTACGGTTCAATACTGGTTTTACTATTTGAAAGGTTCATATTTCACACACTATTTAGAAGAACTGTTTTTATGATGGCACCAGTTTGCTCCTGTAATTATAAAAACAGTGACTCCACATAGATCCATGATAAGCAGTGGGATGCTTTGGGATCCAAAGTCCAATATAGCACAAATAACAAGCTTTATTCCTTATTTGCAGACAGAGTGCAGCCAGGAGGGCCTCGCCATGTCTCAGATATGGAGTGAAAAGTTGGCAGACACACCAAGGGTTTTTCTATTTATTGTTTTATGACGAACCATGGCACTGAAGATGGTTCTTGAAAACCACTCTGTTTATTTTCATCAACAAACATGGGATCACGTGACAGTGACACACCCAGTGTGATCATTGCACCAGGGGAGTAGTCAAACACTGGGAACTTCCAAAGTCCATTCAGTTCTCAGGTTGCCTTCAGGAGATAAGCACCCTCTCTCTAGCATATCTGTGGTTTTTAGAGTTCA